TATATATATATATATAATTTTAGGTTTAATATTTTAATTAGGCTTTACAAATTTATAATTTGATGCTTAATTTATATATATATTTTTTTTGTAATTGAGTCATATAGTTAATTTGTGTTTGTTCCATACCTTCATAAAAATAATAATTTGTGATGGTTTTATCAGTTCTAGAGGCTCAATTATAAAATTTATAAAAATCAAAGACTTAATTATAAATTTATTCATTTAAGAGCCTAATTGAAATTCATTAAAACAATTCAAGGATTTAATGATGTATTAAACTTTGATTATATAATAATTTTTACTATTATTTTTTAATCTATTGTATATGCATTTTTTTTTGGGTAGGGTCGTTCCCAACTAGGATTTTTTTATGTTAAATTTGATTTGGGAATGGCCGTTTCAAGGATGGGAACGGTTGTTCCACGCATTAATCACTAGCTTTGAGTCTTTTGGGCCTTCTGGTGTTGTCGTGGTCCATTTTGGTGCTTTATCGGGTCCTCGAGGGTTGCTCTCTTCGTCAAGTGGCCTTTCGTCTTTAGTAGGGGTAACTCGAACGAAATCTGGTGTCTTCAAGAAGGAGCCATACTTACATTTAGGGTTCATTTTAGGATGCATTTGCGCTTGCATTACTCGGCCATGCACTCCAAATGTAACCCTAGCTCGTTTCATTCCTTCTATAAGTACCCTAGACCTCCCACCATGTTATTACTTTGGGTTATATGATATTAAGAGAGCCTTTGTCTCTCAAAATCCCTTCCTTAGTTATTAGGTAATTTTTGGACTAGCCTATCACCTATCTCTTCCTTGAATGAGTGAACCTTGAGTGGCCTTCATCTATCCATGGAGTGAGCAAACCTAAAGAGCTTCCATTTATCACACCAATCTTTCTTGCTTTGGACGTCCATTTTTTCTCCTTGGTGGCTAGGAATTCTTGATGATCCATGATCCTTGGAGCAAGGAAACTCTTCCATTGACATCTCCATTATAGACACCTAATTTTTTCTAGACCTGCAAACAAAGAAATGAACTTCTATTATGAAGAAAAGGAGCTCCTGAAGGATAGAAATGACATGATATGACATTAGAAGGCCTAAAGCCTAATAAGAGTGATTTAGTAGCTCAAAACGAGTCGTTTCCAATCTGAAACGGCCTGTTCTAAAACTAGAACGGGTCGTTCTAAACTACAAATGGCCTTGAAACTCTAGTTGAGAATGGGCCATTCCATCACAGGTTGTTATGAGTCAAGCTCAAACCTAGAACAGACCGTTCTGACATCAAAACGGACTGTTCCGAATTCAAGTTTAACTCATAACAAATTGATCCAGAATGGCCCATTCTGAAATCGAAACAGGCCGTTCTAGTTAGTTCTCATGTCTATAAATAGTAGACTCAGGCATTACTTATAGGGCTGAAAAAATTCGTCTAAGAGGTCTCATATAGATCAAAAATTCTCTTCATCTATCTCTTTGTATTTCTTGAGATTTGTGAGGTATTCTGTAGTGTGAAAGGTAGCCAAAATACACCTAATAGATCTCTTTATTTGAAGATTCAATAAAGCTTAATCAAGAGGTATTTTAGTCAATATTCTTCTCTTTTCTATTCTTCTTTATTTTCATAAGTATTGTTTCAAATAAAAAGAAATAACTATGTTGACATCCTAGGTTAATTCGTGTAATTTAAATTTCATGAATGTAAATAATCATTAATAAAGAGGATCTGATATTTAATCCATTAATTCTTATTATGCTAGCTTCATCATAGGGTACCGATTTAAGGCGTTGTAGGGGTGATTAATAACTTCACTAAAAGTAATAGAAACCGATACCAATTTTGGTTATTAAGGTCATTATTAGACTTTCAAAAATATTTTCTTTTTCCAATATTTGGAGCAAAACTTTGGTGGAGACTCCATGAACCATTTTTTTAAAAACCATTACTTAAGGATTAGTCTGGTTTCCAGGCATTTCCTAATTGATGAGGTTTTTCAAAAAGGTAGTCCAAACCATTGGTCGTAAGATCAGAATTTTTTGGGTTACGACATCCATCCATCAATGGCTAGGTGTTTCCATCATTTAGTAACATATATTACACCTTCATATAATAAAAATATTAAAATACACAATGTTATAGATCTGCCACATTTTTCAAGTGTAGAAATACATGCATGTTAAGCTCGTACAAACAATATGTGTTTTCATAATTGTGGGAACCAATGATTAGGTACTTAGGTATATGTTAAAAATGATCCTTTCTCTTGGATTAATGGACGATATAATATATTTATATATTAAAAAATGGTAACTAATCTCCTAGTATATTTATCAATAAATTAGTAATTTCATAAATATAAATTAGTATATATTAATATACTTTTAAATAAATATAAATATAAATATATTATATACGATAAATATATAAGAAGAAATTTAATAAAAAATACTAATACATCATTTCACCCGTTAAGGTAACATCAACAAAATATTTATTATTTTAATAGTAAACTAAAATTATACAATTATGACATTTGAATGGATAAAATTATTTAATAAAAAATTAAAAGATCAACATCACACAACTATAATATTTGAGTGATTAAAATTATTCAATTAAACTTTTGAACTAAAATAAAAAAATTGTA